TGAGTTTGTGACCTGAAGTAAACAGTTTGTTTTGAAGCTGATAACTTAAAGATATTAAACTCTCTGAAACTTTCAATGGTTATCAAATCCAAATAAATAGTGGGGGAGTACACACATGTGCATACCATAGATTTGAGACATGTATTACCCATGTAGTTCATTACTCGTTGTAGTTCTGTACTGTTGTACCACTGTTGGTGTATATACAAAATGATCCCCAAACAGGGGGCTGAAATGCGGTGAGATGCTTCTGGTGTGCGGGGTGCAGTTTATAAATGTGGTTATTTGCAAAAGCAGTAGAAAACTCGTTTGCAATTAGTTAACTCTCTTTTGTATTTTGAAGTCTAAATTTTCAGTTTTGCCCTTCGTCCAAAGTGTATGGGTTTACAGCCGTGGATCTCAAGCCAGGTGGTGAAGATGAGGTAAGGAAACAACCTACCTTTACCTTTTCAACAGCAGTTAAATATTGACCGTCTCAGCAGTAACTCTAATGCAAAGTGAATTCTTAGAGTATTTATCTATTGTCTTTGCAGACTGTAACAATGGATAATGCAGAGGAATATGTAGATCTCATGTTTGACTTCTGCATGCATACTGGTATACAGAAACAGATGGAGGCATTCAGAGGTAATCTTAAATATGGCAGAATATATATATAAGCAGTTAGGTGGACTAATTGTTGTTCAGGGTGTGCTGGTCTAAAGTGGTGGCATAGAATGGCTTTCAAAACAAATGTTTAAATTAAGAATACAATAGATAAGATAATGACATAACATCTTTGCATTAGTTATGCCATTTTTAACCTTGAAGAGATTCAGTTCACCTTAGTTAAGAAACTGTTGATTGATTCTAGTTTGATTAAAATATAATTGAAATGCTGACATTATTTTATAAATATTCTTTTGACTTATGTTTATAACTGTATTTTGTGTAAATTAAAGATGGCTTCAATAGAGTCTTTCCAATGGAGAAGCTGAGTTCATTCAGCCATGAAGAAGTTCAGATGATTCTTTGTGGAAATCAGTCTCCTTCCTGGGCAGCTGAGGATATCATCAATTATACTGAACCTAAACTGGGATATACACGAGACAGGTACTTCTATTCTGAGTGATTTAAAAATATTAGCTAAAAGATACATTAAGTGACAAAATGTCCAGAATGTTCATTGGCTGAAGATGCCAAATTGGATGGGACTGCTGATCACTGAAGAGCAAATGATTGTCTAAAACTACATGAAATAACCATGTGTGTTACAACAGATAGATTAGAAGGTAGTTGGTGTTTTTGTGATGAGAGATGATAAAAAATAAAATACTAAAATGTGAACAAGTAGTGGAAATGTAATGACAGCTAACTAACGCAAGCTATTAAAAATAGCATTTTGGAGTTTTTACCTTCATCTTTGGTGGTGGTTATAATTCCTGTTCAGTTGGGTATAGTTGTTGCTTGTTCCTTATTTCTTACTACTTTCTTTTCAAGCATAGTTAAAAAAGAAAGTGTACTATGCAGGAAACAAATATGCTGGTGAATGGCTATCAAGAGGGGGTCTTGATGTTTTGGGGTTTATTTGGTTAGGGGTTTTTTTGCTACTTGTCTTGTTTGGTAGCAATAACATACAAATTACTTTCTGGAACTGTGGTAATAGAAGCATGCTGAAGGATCCCAATCAGTCCAGGATGGTGTGTGGAAGGATTCTTCCACAGCCCCTGTGCTGCATGCAGAGATGCAGCAGAGGTCACAGTGCCTGATAACCGAGGGCATGTTTCAGCATTCTGTGCTTTCTCTGTGCCCTCCCCTCCCCCTCATTCCCTGGGCTGGTGTGGATGAAAGCAGTGCTATCTGGAGGATTCCTTGTAGTCTGTTATATTTTTCCTATTTTTTTTGCATGAGGATAGAAATGAAATCATGTATAAATTGAAGTGGCCTTATACTGCAGAAGTGGTACAGAAAAAAATCTTAGGATTACAGTCAGTTGGATTCTTCTCAGAGAGTAGGTTTGAGCTCCTACCTACTTTCCTACCTGTTCATACGCAAGATGCCTGAATAACACTCGAAGATGAGTATGGAGAAAAGTTTTTATTTAGCTACATTTTTCTGTGTAATAGTAAGGAGGTTAAAGAAGTATTTTTCATGGGTTTTATGACGTTTTATTCTTAACTCAGTGCTGAACAGGCACTAGAGTCTAACAACTGCTTAGACACGACTAAAGATTGTACTGTCTCAAGTTAAGGGAATTTTAAAAAAATACTCTGGTAATGTTGTCATAACCCATTACTTTAATTTATTTTAAGTCCTGGATTCCTTCGATTTGTGAGAGTCTTGTGTGGTATGTCTTCGGATGAAAGGAAGGCTTTTCTCCAGTTCACTACTGGTTGTTCAACACTCCCACCAGGAGGACTGGCAAACCTGCATCCCCGGCTCACTGTCGTACGCAAGGTACGGCTCCTTCGTGTTGTCCTTCAAACCAACTATTTTGGCTTTTGAATGTAATTGTTGCTACATTGAGAAACAACACTGGTGGTTTGGGGTTTTGTTTGTGTTTTTTTTTTTTTTGTTGTTGTTTTTGGTTTTGAATTTATGATGCTATGCTATGCTAAGCTTTCAGTACTAACCTCTGTTTCAGGTTTGTTCTCTGACTTCATATTTGCATATAAAAGAATTAACATACATATAAAGTAAATACAAGTTGATCTGTAGCTTTCCTGGTGCTATTGTTTCTTGATGACTGGTGTTATGTGTGCAGGAAGTGCCATGAATTAGAGGGCCTTACACTTTTTAACTTCCATATGGAGTAGTGTGGATAACTGCAGTAAAAAATGTTCTCTTCCTCAGGTTGATGCTACAGATGCAAGTTACCCATCTGTGAATACATGTGTGCATTACCTAAAGTTGCCTGAGTATTCTTCTGAGGAGATTATGAGAGAGCGTCTGCTAGCTGCTACAATGGAGAAAGGCTTCCATCTCAACTGAGCCACTGACTGCAGTACAGGACATGAGAGAGTGTTTTTTGATACTAGCGAAGCCTCTTGTGTTTGTGTGCAAAAAATATGATCTCCACGCTGTGCTCTGATGAGACTTGCCTTTATTTTCACCTGTGAGGCTTTAGGAACATGTGGAATAAGTTTGTTAGCTGCTAATGACAAAATAAATCCTTGTAACTTCACAGCCAGCAAGAAATTGGCACAGAACACTGTGTGATGCTTCAAGGGCTTGCACAACTGGAAATTAAGGTGGTTCTGTTTGACTGTTCCGAAGAACAGATCATCAGATTTTCAGTGTTCACTGACACAAATTTCTAACAGTGTATTTGTGTAAAGTTTGTCATTTAATACCTTGTACACTACAGTTGCCATCACTGATCCCTGTTTTGCTGGCTTTAAGCTAACTGGTCAGAAACTTGCTTCCTTAAATCTTAGAGGTAATGGGCATCTCCAGCTTTTTCTTTTTTAATGGTGCCTGCACTATTGGAGTATTTTAGTGGGTTTTTGCATATAATCATGCACAATTTTTTTTTTTTTTTCTTTCAAGTGGGAATATATTTTGATTTCTCAAATGCCCTGCTATAAAGATCAAATCCTTAAGTGTGTTTGTGCAGCTCAATAAAGCAATTAAAAAACACTGGTTCCTAGTGCAAGGCACACTTAAAGCAAGTTTTACTTTTGGTTGTATTTTCTTTGTATATTATAAACATTTATTTAACTTGTTGCAGTTTGAAGTTTAAAAAAAACACCCAATGTGTAAGCTCAAAAGTAATCATTAAAATGTTTGCAACATACAAAACTGTCTCCTCTGAATACTTTATTAATACTTATGAAATCTCTGTATATGTTCTGAACAATGTGCCAGACTTTTAAAGATTTAAAAGAACTACTTGGCAATAATTGTTCTCACGAACTCATTTCTCTGCTCAAATCTTTTCAGAATCACACAGTGCAGCTTTTTAAGAACTACTCTGGCAGTGAACGTGGCAGTTTTTGGTTCTCTTCGGTGGGCTCATGTGACCTGAGGTTATAGTTCTTCATTGCACTGGAATAAAAGCTGGGTCAGATGATGCAGCTGATTCAGCGGTAGTTGAGATGGAGTGCCTGCCTTGGTTTCAGCACGTGGTGAGGTATTTACTGGTAAAAAGTGGCTTACAGTAAGATAAAGTGAGATGCTAATAAGTCTTCAGAGATATTTAAGTACTTGATACCAGAAAAGAAAAATGACAGTTTTAGTTGAATTTGTGTAGTAAGTTTTGCTCTGTGCCAGTTCTCTTTGCTAACAATCTTTTCTTGGACCACTGCTGAGGGAGGTCTTGCCAAAAGATTCTGCCTCACCTGCAGATCAGGCTGATGCCAGATTTCTTTTCATAGCATTATTCATAGGACTTCACAGGCATCATCTTTGCGGTTTTCCCCAATGCAAAGTCGAAGGGGAATCTCCACCACCCCCTTACTCCTGTGACTGTTGTGCTTCAACAAAACAGTTGCATAAACCTCGTGCACAAGTATCTGCTCTAAATCCAATGTCAAACCTGTCTTGCTGAATGTGTTGTTATTTTAAGGCTATGTGGACTGTTCTCCCCCCCACCACTTCACTCTCTGCTCCTTCCACCCGGGTTTCTAGGTGCAACTCCGATGTGACCATCATGTGCTTTCACACAAAGCTCACACAGGATATGCTTTTTCAGTAGCAAGTTATGCCTAGTGTTGATGTGGAGGTTATGAAGATGGAGCCAGATATCATAATTTTAGAATGGTAAGTGAAAGTAAGCTCAGATTGCTAACTCCTCAGTGGCTTACTGCTGTACACAGGTATGAATCAGCATGTTGTCTGCCTGTGAGTGCAAGTGAGCGTAGCTACATCCTCCTACTCGAGAAGGCAGATTTGATTTGGTACCTAGCTGGCACCAAGAAACTTGCCTATCTCGTTACTCATCTTTTGTAAGCATTTTAATTGTGATGCATTAATAGAATACACAAAAGGCAAAAATACACTGTGTGCCAGAATAGAAGAGATTTTGTGTAATTTACGAAGCCAACATGTTTTATTGTTGCCGTTATGAAGCCAGATCTTTTATTAATGTTACAATATACAAGTGCCAAATACTTCTAGTTACAACTTGCACAGCATGCAGGAATACTAAATACATGTGTACTTGTGTTATTTAAATTTCTTTTGTAACCATGACTTACATGGAAAAGGGCGTGATACCAGCTTTATGATGAAGGATGAATCTAGTTTAAGTGGTCGTAGAAGTTACAGAACTTGAATTTACAGTACATGTGTATGAAAACAAAAAATTCTAGTTGGTGCTTAAAGGAAGCACTGAAACTCAGTTTGAATTTATGTTTCTATATTTTCTGTCTTCTCTTAGGTTTGGCATAATGCTACGTAATTCAAAGTGATACCTAGATGGCCACGTGTAAGTTTCCCTTACTGTATCCTCAGCCAGTTTTAAAAAATATTGACTGTTCTAAGCAGATTTCTCCTGGGTCAGTAAAGCTGCATCTGAAATTGCAGGTTCTTTGAAATGGAAGCTGAACTTTATGTTTAGCTGTATGTTTCCATTAGGTATGTAGGATATAGGAGAAACAGGAAGTATTTTCCAACTAATCTGAGTATGGCATGAGTTGGTCTTACAACATCAGAAAACTGCCGTCGGTAGGCTCTTGGTAGTTTCATCATCCTTCATAAAATGCTTTAGTCAGTCTTGCGTCTTCCTAGCTTTCTGGCACTTTGTCAAGCACAAACAAGGGGGCAAGAATTCTGTTCCTGTTTGTTTCCACAACGCAGCCATTTAGCACCATTTCATCCAAAATGATGTGCACTCTGTCCAAATTGAACATGATCTAGAAACATTTCAGGTTAAGTACATTTTGAACAATGCAAGGATAGTTCAGAGAAAATCTTTAGGCACCTTAGTCTTTAATCGAAGTTTACGAAATTGGGTATTTCTTTATTGTAGTTGATCTGGCTATTTATTTTAATAAAGCTAGAGAAACGGTTCAACTGATACTTTTTTCTGACCAGAGATGTCAGAAGTTTGTAATAGAGAAGTTGAAGCCCCAGCAGATCTTCCCATCCTGCAAGATGACCACAGAGTAGTAAAAGCAGGGTGAACTTGAACTTAGATGCAGGTGGTTATTTTTACTGTCTGGCTGAGTACCACATACTGCTTGAATAGAAAATGTTATCGGGGATAACAGCCTTGTATGTGAAGATGCAAATATTCTGCATTTCTTCTCAGAAAAGTAATTGTCAAATGCTTAACATTTGATTCTCAAATTTTCCTTACCCTAAATTACTAACACTATTTGATCTGCTTGAAAATAGCTTACAAGGAATATGCTGATATGTAAAGTTGAGTGATTGATCTAGTAATAAATCTCATACAGAAGAACAAAAGTAAATAAATGGTTCACATTTTAAATACTTTTATCTAAATGATATTTACAATCTCTAATGTTCACCTAAAGGAAAATAATCTGAAACAGAATGAATTTGTACCATTGTGATATATGAAATTTGTCCATAACCATGTCTGTCTTTCCTTAATGTTAACAGCAGCTGTCTTAAAAAAAAAAAAAAAAAAATATATTATAGGCCTTACTTGGGTATTAAGCAGTGGGCATTCTTCTGCATACATTAGTGTTTTGTGCGCCCACTGACAACTGCAAAGGGTTACTTAGGGGAAAGAAGACCCTTCTGTTGCCATTTATCACCAGAACCTGAAATGGAAATAGGCATAGCAGAAAAGCCGGCTGGGCCCACCTGTTAGGCCCCACTGACACTCATACACGTACCCAGAGGCGCCAGTATCCGCCCTCTGCCTCCCTCTCCGCCTGTCGCTGCTCTTTAACCCTGTTCTTTGCTGTCCTCAAGAGATCAGCTTTGCCTTCATTTTCTTCCTTATGCTCTTGCCTGCGTATTGCAGACAACTGCAGTGGAGCTAGCAAGAGTCTTTACAGTAACTTCTAAATACATTTTTCAGTACTTTTTTCTAACTTTGATATGAGTCTCTTGAGTGCCTTCTCTGCTCGTTATGCTATTTTTGATGCTATGGTTTGAGCTCAGGAAGACAGCCTGGCTTTGCTCTAGTCCTTGTATTTATATTTGCAGACGGCCATCCTGATCAGTGGAGTTGCAAGAGCCAGGTTTTTGAAAGCATCAATATTTTCTTCTGCTCAGCGTGAGGAAGCTCGTCTCATTTTTGAATGTGACTCAGACATACAAGAGAAATGATCTGTCTCATGAGTTCTAGTGAACCTAACCACAGCTGTCTGCCCTGCTGCTCTGCCAAAGAGCCGAACAGTGGGAGTACTGAGCTGTATGCGACAACAGCCGTGGAGCCGCGTATTTGCATTTATTTGTTCCTCCCAGGCAGTAAATGCAAGCGGTGGGGAGACACCACCTTAAGCCACCAGAGCTGCAACCACACAAGCTCATCAGAGTGAACAGTCTTAGGTCTGACTTCAAGAAATGGATTTAAGTTAAGTAACTGAACATCTCTATACCTGGCTTTTTAGCACCTGGCTTTGAGAAGTGAATTCCTTAACCTGAGTTAGGTGCCTTGTTTTCCCTGCAGTGAGTGGTGAAAGCCAGACCCATCGAACAGTTCACAGGTTCTAGAGAACCAGGGCTGAAGCCAGTACTTGGGGATGCAGAGAGGGATCTTCCTGTGCTCCCTTCTCATGGATTCAGAAGTTCACGTCATGACTTCAGGTTGTAACTGACTCAGTCTTTTTTAAAATGTCACAGTAGAGATGCTGCCTGCCTAAAACCTGTAGAGGAGAGAGGCTGAGCCTGTCCTGAGCTGGGGAATTCCAAACCACCCTTTAACATACTGCCTGTCAGTTTAGCTGAGTTGGTAGCAGCTGCGCCTGCTGCCTTCCACTTAAAGTTCTCCTGCTGTCTGTAAATGTTCTGGAGTATGACAGCAATGAGAGAAGCTTAAGTTTTTGTCCCCATCTTAGGGATTCCTTCTGCTGCGTATGCTAAAGCAAGAAGAGGGGCAGAGAGTATCCTGTGTCAGCCTTCTGTGTGACCACTCTTCTGAGAGCTGAACTTGGTCTGGCTGAACTGTAGCATGAACCTGTACGGTCAGGTTGCTGAGGGTACAGCTAGCAGGCTGTCACCTTCCTCTGCTGTTTCAAATTGCCGTGAGTGCTCTGGGCTGAACTCAGTGCCACTGTGCATTTTGCAGAAGGGTAAGCGACTGTATCGCTGCTTCAGCAAATGCTTTCTGCTTGGCCAGGAGCACAGCGTGTCTAGGTAGGTGGAGTAGTGGAATCCATGCCCCCAGATAACTTTACTATTAGTTAATGTTATGTGAGGAAGAGAAACTATAGCCAGCAACAGGATCTGGGCTATGTCCGTAGTTCATCGGGTAGCTTCTAATTTGCTGCCCTAAACTGAACCACCAGATTTAATTCTAAGTTGAGTTTTAAATACCAGGCTTCTTCCTGAGCCCAACCGTAGGCCTGAATTGCTTCTAAGTCAGACTCGTGCCTTTCAATACTGAGGGGCTGTACTGGCCTTAAAACTTCAACTGTCTCAGTTTCTGTGGTTCGAGAGACAAAGGTAGTTGTTTTACTTCATTTTGCAGATTTAAGACGAGACAAATCTCCTCCTATGCTATATTTCTCAAGTAAATCAGTCTTTAAAATATTTGTGTACTCTGAGAAGTTAGGGTTTCTTTATTCCAGTACTGTGAGAATTTCTGGGAGGACAGCTCTTGTACTGTGCTACACAGGGCAAAAGGATCTGTTAATGAAGTTAGATAACATTCCATTCAGGTTTCAACAGGTGATAAAACCAACTCCTGGCTTTTACACACTACCACTGATTCACAGTATTCCAGTTCCCACAGTTCTTGCCTCTTTGGGCCTGCCTCTTCCTTTGAGAGTCCCAAGGATCTAAAACCCAGAAAACTGGATCAGCGAGGATCAGTGATGAAACAGCACCTTGCCACTCACACCTTATTTTTCTCATCACCTTGTTTAAGAAAACTTAAAACACTGCTTGACCACTGCTTGTTCCCCTGATGAATTTCCTAAAGATCACCATGTCAAAGGGAAACTGCACCCACACCACTCAGTAACTTGCAGCTGTTCCACTCAAACCCAGTATGGTTAAACAAGACATCAATTCCCCTGCAGGACTATTTGAGATTATTTCAAAACTGGCCTGCTCCATTATAGAAATCTCTGGTATGATTTCTGTCCGTCTGTAACCTGTTAATCTCTCAGTTGTCATTCCAGAACAGTGATTTCACCTGCAGCCTGACTGGGGATACTAATACCAGTCCGGAAAGATCTGTCATCTGGACTTTGGACGGTCTCAAAGCACTCTTTACCCTCTACCCTCAGCCTAACCTCCTGGCTTCCTTTTTCACCTCCCTTCAACATGATGTTCTTGGCAAACAGTCACATTGCAGAGGTAGGAAGAGGAGGTAAATGTGTCTCCTTCCCCAAAACATTATATAGGCAGATAGTTACACAGCAGGGAGGAGGAGGAGGAAAGGAAAAAGGCACATTTAGGACTTTCATGTAATACCTTCTTCATATAGAGACATAGTAAGATATCTCAGGATTTTCCAGGCAAGTAATTAAGGGTGTGTTCAGGTTTAAGAGATGATAAAGTGCAGCCAACACCTTGTGATCAGGTAACACACCCAGGAGCACAAACGGAAGCTTTGTAGATTACAGCACAGGTAGTTATGGGGCAGAGGGTGTGCTACTGAATACACAGCATTACAAAACTTTGATTTCCATCCTGGACATCTTCAACTACAGATTAGTTGGAGTTGCTTCTTTTTTTAATCTAGAGTCACACATTCCAACTTGATTTTTTGCTAACATTCACTCAAGTAACTTTTAGCCTATCTCATGGCAGGCAAATTTTAGGCACTGAAACATGTTTAATGCTTTCTAACCATTTCTTCTTTAAATGATTATGCTGACATTAAACAGGAGATAAATGGTCCCTTCAAGTTCTGTGATATTCTAGAACAAGTTTTAAGCTAATCCTTACAGGTTTTCATTTCATCCACTTATTTTACAGTACAAACTGAAGTGTATCCTTATAAATTCCAAGAATGAATTAACCATTCAATTTTTTTACTGCCTAAATGAACTGTATTCTGGAAGTGTTATTTCATGGAGGACTGGAGAATACAGTTGAATCACATGATTCATTCCCTGTATCAAAGCTTTTTATCTATCCTAGGAGCAGCAGCAGCTAGTTGCAATGGAATGTAATGTTTTTTTTGGATCAAGATGACATTCTTCAAATGCTTGGTCCTGGAGCACTCTGTCTTCCCTCTCCCCTCCCACACTGGGAACGTAAGTATCTATTTCTCCCATAAGTTAATAATGTGTCTGCAAGCAGGCTTTGCTTCACCAGTTCAAGCAACAGAAAAGTCACTTTTTGTAATTTTAGAAACTCTTGCTTACCAGCATATCATTCCCTAGAAAGCTGCTGTGGTAACACCTGTGTTTTTATAGTCTCTTAGTTATCTTCATACTGAGAAAGGAGCTCCTCCACCATCCAAGCTGGAGTTTTAGAGCTATAGAAAATCCCACCCACTTATTTCATACACAGAAATGAGGCTTGTCTGGTGCTATTAACACAGGAGGAAGCAACACCTGAGGACCATTTCAATACTCGTTCATTCAGCGGGCCCAACAACACTACTTACAGGTATTTTAAAAACCAAACCAATCAACTTTTGAAATGTTATGTTGTCATTCTGTCATAGGTACCCTTAGGTATGTGACTGACTCTCAGAATGAAAGCGGACATTATCTAGTGGCTGAATGCTTTACAATTCACACACAAAAGCTTCTGGAAAAGCCACGCCTCCTCTAATGTAGTTACTTAATTGGCTGGTAGCCAATCAGTGTTCATTTTTGCAGTATGCATGAGATAACTTTGCACTTGTTCATGCATTGTCTAGCACCACACACCCTTATGTCATTCATACATATAAATATTATGTATGAATCCTGTTGGGCAGGATTCAGACTGGGCCCACTCTCTGCCTCGTGCCCAAGGTGCCCTTCCTGGCAGCTGCCTCCAGGCTCGGGCCATGACACAGGCTACGATGTGGGTGCCCGGGGGGAATTCGGGTGCTTGGACCTAAATGAAAGCTGGGGTCCTGCATTGGCAGGAGCACGGTTGCCAGGAATACTGGGGTCGTGCACGGCGGCCGGGGAAGCGCTGAGGATCAGCGCACGTGCTGCAGGCGTAGCCTGGGTTCCGGGAACATTTCTGTTGCGTGAGGGCCTCAGCCTTCAGTGTTAACTGGGGTTTGCTCTGCAGGGGGGAATAGCCTTTAGTGATTATCATCTATTTTTCATGGGTTTTGGTTTCATGTAATTTTCCTACTTTTTTTTCACGGCAGTAAGCGCTACTTTCTATATAAAACAGCCACTATCACTTTTGAATAAACTTGCTATCAATCTGTACACAAAAATAATATCACAGAGACAGGAAATTGTGACAGCCTCCCACCAGATACTCCATATACAAAGACTCTGTGAACACTACTTGGTGTTCGCTGTTACAGACCTTCAGCCAGTACTTCCTCCACTGGAGATTCTGCACCCAAACTGTCTGTACTGAATACAAGAGTTAGCGTAAGACTGTTCGGCCCAGGAACTGGTTTAATCCCAGGTGGGGATATTATTTTACACACTGTGAAAGGCAGATGGATGGATTATTGCTTGCAGTGCATTAACATCTAAGACACTCATAGTCCAGATCTTACAGTGTTCTTCTGGGCCTGCTATTCAAGCTGTTGTCAAAAATAAGTACAATCCTAAGCAACCTACTTCATCATTGCTACACCACGTTTAATCATTGAGGTTATCTTACTTTATTTCAACTATTTTATGTACCCTCTCAATTTATGAGAAGCTCTCCTTCCTAAATAGGAGAATCATTTGATATATATGTATATATATTTATATATATATATGTAAAATGTTTTATTTTAAAGTTGTTCCCGAAATGCATTTCTGAATGGAAAAATTACGTACATCGTTCAGATGTTATAAACGTGGAGGAGAGACATATCAGACATGAGCTTTTCCAGTATTATTTCCAGTATTATCAAATACAATAGTAACGCACACTCCTATTTTCCAAATATTTATATTCACACCCTCATGCAGATGAGACCCATGTAGAAGATGAATTTCTACATGAATAATTCAGTCACTCTGTTGCATCCATTGCAAACATTAGTGTTGGCATATAATGCCACAACTTCTCTAAACACTGCAGACTAGCACTGTATGCAGAAGCTTGCTGGGTGTGTGGCAGCCTTCCTCAGCTATTAAGTGGCTACTGGTGGTAACTGTAAGTGTGTAACTACAGGAAATTCCTCTCGGTATGAAAACCGTGACCAGAGGCCAGCAGAATTTAGAATCATTAGTACTCCAAACAATCTAAGATAAAAACAATCAGGTAATTGCATACTCAAAGTACCCCATATGGAAACACAGGGGACTATTTTTATGTATAATTACTGAATAGGTCAGGTTAGTCTCTAATTCAGCAAAGCTCACACACAAGTATACATAGTTCTACTCCTTAACTGTAATAACTGAATACAAAAAAATGTAGTTACACCATCGCTCAGAGACCTTAAGAGTCCCTTCACGCTGAAATTTCATTAATGCTCTTTTAAGTGAATTTAGGAGTGTTGTATTGATACCACAGCATTTTGTGAATTTCAGGAAGGAAATACAGACAGTACATATATATATATATATATACACACACACACATATACATAAATCTATATTTAAGTTCAGTAGATGAAACAGAGTTCCAGCATGTAGCAAGCATTAAAATATTTACAAAAGTTGATTTTTTTTTTCAGTAACGAAGTAAGAACAGTTACAAGAAAAACGACAGAATTTTTCTATGTTCTTCATATGTACTAATTCTTAAATAAGGTAAATAAACTAAATTACTTTACAGTACTTGATTCCAGGGTGGGCGCTGTATTTCAGGGGTATAACTGAAACTCCTTGTACCAGTAGATCTGCATTTAACCAAAACCAAACATAGGCATAAGGATTGCTGGAGTGAGCAGGCAATGGGACTGGAAGAACTGAGAAGGAAGACTGTTTGCGCTACATTCTCCAGGTTTAATTTTCTTTGAATTCAGTTTTGTATTTTATTTACTTGCTATTTGTGTTTAATTGCTCAGACTGTATTTTAGTATTTGTTTGTATGTTGTTTCAGTTCGTTTTTTAAATTATATTTTAGTTAATAACCTGCAAATCATACACATGAAGATACAGCTGTATAAGGGGAGGGGCGGGAAAACAAAAAGGTATCTGCAGCAATGCCTAGTTTCCTAAATTTCCTTCTCTCAGGACCTTTTCCACTGATACAGAAAATAAAACTCACCGAGACTCCCAATCAGCAAGATCAAAGCGCAAACCTAATCTTACAATGATGCTACTGCTATTTGGCTCACGACACAGCTATAACATTCAGTTCTTATTATTGCAGTCATTTCAGTATCTATTTTATTGTAAACTTAAAGAAAAAAGTAAAACCCTGATGTAATAATTAGCTAAGCCTGAAAGTTCCCCCATCAACATAACTTTTCATGTCTAGGTGTTAATGGTGCTTAGTTCTCTCTAAGCACACTCTCCTTGTCTTACTTTAAATGGTACCAGGCTTATCTTAACGATTGAGGATTTAAATAGGTGACCTTCATGAACATCAGCCATGCTTTCAGAAAGGTGCCAAAATAATGCTACTGACTGTAAGTGCAAAATTTGTGAAATCTCTGCATTGTCTTGACTGTTTGACAGTCAGTGCTATGAAGACACATGAACTGGAACATACATCAAAAGGAAATAGATAAAGGGATTTCTCATACTGAAAAGGATACATCTAATTCACTCTGCAAGGAAAAGAGAGACAACCATTAGTTACAGTTTGATATCATAGTCATTAAACACTGCACATCCCTTTAGAGGATAAAGAAAGTTTTCAAAATAATGATACAAAATTTGAAGGCGATTCAGATTTCTGTTCTAGACTGTACAATTACATGCTCTTTCCTGCAACGCTGCCTTTGATGTGTTACCTGCCTCCATAACAGAAGCTAATGTGCTGAATTTTATGCTTAGAAGAACCCACTGAGGTCACCCACAAGTTACAATTTGAATACACACAGTGCCATCTGAATGAGTGGGTGGAAAACCAGCATCTCTAATCATGGCAACTCCGGCCCTATATTCTCCCTTCCTCATTCGGCAAAACCAGGATGTTAATGCCAAGTTTACAATTTATATAAAGGCATGGTTAAAAATGTTGCTGCAGATTATTTCAACAGCGAAATCTAGACATTGTATATAACCATGGCTGTGGTAGCTGTGGCTGGATATATTAGGAGAGGGAAGGCAATTCCAAGCTTTAGACCTTTAACACTTCTAACTGTTCTCCAGCCCCAGCAACACAATTCTTCACAGAGTCATCATTTCCCTTCCAGTCTTGGCCTGGATTTACCCCAAGTAGTTCTATTCATTTGACCAAAATGTCTGAGTTAGAAGCCCTTGTGGTCTCTCTGCAGTCAACAGAAGAGATGGGTATCTTCAACAGTTGACTCAGCACACTTGAGGCATGACTCACTTTCTCGAGATACTCATCAGTCTCCACTGCTGGTAATGGGAGCTTAGGATGACCAAACTTCTAACGTAGGTGCCTCAGTTAAATGTCTAAATTTAGAAACCATTAATCACAGCCTCAGCAGTTAAGATCTTGCACAGTTGGGGTGGAACTTCCTCAGTCTCTGCTGAAAGAGGGAATCTTTGTCTGCTACCAAGGGACTTTAGTTTGCTACCACGGTTTCCATTCACTGTCTAATCCTGGTTTTAGGCAGTTCCCACTGGTAAAATTGCTACTACTTCTATGGACTACAGCTGCCCTAAACTGGACTAGTGGGTCTACAGGCCTCTGCTGAGTGACTCTGCCATTCTTCAATTAGAAATTTTTTATGCATCACAAAAATTGTATTTTAAGACCCTGGTCAGTTTAAGTTTCCTCACTATTAAAATGTAGTTGAAAACATTGGAGTATGTATTCTGAACAGTATGTAGTTTTCCCTGGGTAGCCATCTAAAAGTGAAGGGGACTCAAAATTACATCTCAGAAGCAACTTTGAAAGCTTTCCCCCCTAATTCTTTAATGTTTGTTCTGATATCTGAATTCAAGCTCTGTAAACTCCATTAGATAAAAATAGAGTATGTGAGAATGTTTAAAGCTCACAAGGCTAAAAATAATAGATGACAAAATGTCCTTCTAGAGCAGGACAGATGTTCTTCCCTTTCCCAGAGTTCTGTCTCTGTTGTTATCATCATAATTTGGGATTCTGCTAAAATTCTGCAAATCCTAAACATTAATCCATAATAATACAGACTTCTACTTTCTTGCTCTGTGGTTTCTGCCAGAAACCTCAGCTAGAATTATAGCCCTCTTCTTCAGTGCTCTGCCATTTATTGTGTTACAAGCTGTTAAAAATAGAACCATGGAGTGGCTTGAGATTTCTTTAACCACCCCACTTTTCTGTTCCCCTAGTTTCAAATCTGAAGTGTTACGGAAAATACGAAAACCTCTGGAATGATGAATTCAGCAAAGTTCTAACAACTGTCAGTGGTTGGGTTATATACATGGTGAAGGAATTATATATGCTACATTTATATGTGTAAGAACTACATCTATTTTTGCTCTGCCTCAAGTGAAGAAAATAGAAGTTGAGAAGTGGTTGGCAACTATTAGCTCAATTAGATAAATAAGATGTGACTGAACTTTATTGTGCATTTCTGTGCTGCCAGGATCAAATTCCATTCCTGGTTATCACTGCTTAGGCTGGGACTGAAATCATAACAATTTTAGGAGACGAATTCTGCACTTAGTACAGTCGGAAAGTGATACATTTAGTACCAGCAGTTTCAACAGGCTGGTGCTATGTTAGTTGAAATAATAGCCCAAAACCACTTGCCAGGCATCTAAATAGCGAAGGGTGCAGATGACTTTTTCAGGCACGCCCTTGAAATCACAGAGGGAGGTCTGCCATGTCTGCTCTGGGACTGGGAAACCAGTTACAGACCCTGCATACTGATCTCTTCTCCATGTAATTACCAAGGTAATACCCTCAAGCACATGGACTACAGAGGAAACTCTATCCAGTCCTCTTTTCTGAGAGGGATATCCAACACAATTCAGCATAGATAAAATGAAATTGTGCTGAAGTATGATTTGAGGCAAATTTGTTTATAAGATGACGATTACAAACTCTATATTAAATAGCACATGTTCTAACCAGGATTATAAGGCTGCCTTTTCAAACTTTGTAAAAACAAGCAAACAAAAAAATCTCCCACCAAAAGGAGCAGTGTCATCTCAACTGGAGCCATGGCTGATGTTGAGTCCTTAACAAAATGACTATTTGTATAACCACTGTTTTATCAGATATCCACTGTTGCATGACAACAACATGGGGAGCACAGGTACAGACTGGTTTTTGAGGTTTCATTTGCTCCATCCCTCTGATCTTGTTCAGTGAGAGTGATGTCAGATCCCTACTTAACGTTTACACCGTCACTATCATGAATAAAGGTCATTTGGGAGATGTAATGCTAAGAACTGCAAAAATGAACTGTAAAGAAAAACCTCTTTATTTCTTTAAAATGTATGAAATGCCAGGGGCTAATTTAAGAGTAGATGACCCACAGAAACCCCTAAGTATAAGCATATAAACCCATGCTTTTCTAACAGAAATATTTCTGGTATTCCTTGTCGGATGATTTATAACCCACATATACTTTTACTTCTCTGAAAAATCAACTAATACTAAGGATTTTCCCCTCTTTTTTTTTTTTTTTTTTTACAGTGGTAATATTCATGCTAAAATATTCCAAATTCTAGATGAATGTGAAAAAAAGTATTTTCTCCTTTGGTTTATTCCCTAAAACTACATATACACTAAAGCTCTGGAAGAAAATAAATATTTCATTATAGGTTCAATGTCTCACTCACCACTCTGCTGAAGTATTTGTCCAAAACTTCCACAAAGTTATGAATTAGTTCATATACTGCCATCTCATTCTGAAATTAAAAACAGAATAGCTAGAAAATTTAATATTATTCTTTGTGTTATTTCAGTTTGTGGTGTATGAAAAGCAGCTGGAAAATACAGTCAGACGTACAGTAAGGTGCAGAAGCTCGGGCCACGCCGGCGCGCGGAGGTGGGGTTACCCAGCAGAGGCGCGGGGAGCGCGCAGGGCCAGAAGCTTCAGGCCAGCCACACAAGGACGCGCTGCGGCACCCAACGGATTCGTCTCGCCCGGGCCGCTGCCACCCCCGGGCAGCCTCTGTCACCCAGGTGAGACACGCAGACAGACACAGCTAACTGCAGCCCAGCTGGGACATCACCACAGATGAGACAGCTGATCTAACTGCAATGCTAACGTTTGTTGAGAAACCCCACCCCATGTAAATTTACGTTTAATCAAATACATTAGCAAAGTTAAATCAAACAAATTTAGACAGCAGAATCAGTACAAGGCTCAGGAAGACTGCCTCATGATAACCGTTCAGTCTGCTGCTATGGACTGAAGTTAAACATGCCACATTTTCTTTTACATCTCTTTATTTCACAGAAATAAAAATGGGGTTTTTTTTTGCAATGACTCCTTGAAATTCTCTAATTGCTATTGCAAAATTCCATGCTGGAAAAAGACTTGAGGTCTTGCCTACGATAATCACTACAAGCTTTCATTTCAAGAAGGTAGAGAATTTCTTACCTCTGTCTCATTGATTCCAACGACTACGAAAAGGGCTGCGTACTGTCGGTATACCAGCTTAAAGTCCTTATACTCAATGAACGAGCACTAGGCAGAAGCAAAACGAGTCAAATATAGCTGTTGCCATTTAAGCATATGACAGTATTAAGCACAGGGCGCTCAAAGAGCCTGAGGTTTCATATTCATAAGGCCCACACAGAACAGTGGATTTCCCAAGATCCACCAATTTTGACTTGAAAGAAACTTAGTAGGGTAACTATGACACAAAACTTTTAATCTACTGGCAGAAAAGACGCTATTGCTTTTTAAATGGAGAAACTGGAGCATACAGAACTGGAGCGACTTGTTCGGGGTTATAAGGCAGTCAGTACTTCCCCTAAATTTTCATTTGGAAGCACTTCCAAAAAAGATGACGTGAAGGTTATTTTCAAATTTGAAAAATGATCGATATTCTTATATGAAAGCTAAGAGTATTTTTCTGACCCGGGGGGAAATTCATATCTTTCACAGCAAGGCAGGAGCCAGCAGATGGTGCTGTTATACACTGCTTTACAAGATGCCTAGTCGTTTTTTTAAGTATCATTTTGCTCAGTCCTTGAAATGGCAGCATACTGTTAGTTCTTTTCGTGAAGTTTCTGTTTGGAGATGCTTTTGCAAGAGCAGTATGGAGGAGGTTAATTTCTTTAGCCACTGTTAACTCTGTGAACTAAGGTACTTTACAGGAACTGCTGTTTCTTCTGAGGTTTTCCAGAATGAAGTATGTGAGGACCACTGTTCAAGGACACATGTAATAAATGAAAAATAAAGAAGCTGACTTCAGGACACAAACCAAAAAACCACTCACAGTCCAAGTCACAGATTTCTCCTCTAACGCAAGTCAATTTTCTCAAAAGATTTGCTACGTTTCGTACTTTTTTTCAAGGACCAATTAAGTGAGCCATGAAAATCTCAACTTTCATCTAAGAACTTATCCAACTTCTGAGTTTTCAGACTTTCTTGCAGAAAGTGTGAACACTTTCTCTGAATAGAAATGCCTGATACATAGACCTAAAAATTTGTGTGACCAAAACCCCTTCTGTTTTAGATAGTATTTTCATGATTTGGAATCCTCTCTCCTAAGATATTTGTTTATACTTGGAGCTGTCAGTACTATCCCTACTACCTTCTGGCAAAGCAGTAGTAATAACTGTCAAGTTCTACCAGACAATCAATAACAGGATAAAATAAATTCTACCTGGAATTCTGAGCTTCTTCAAACAAACAGGAGGAATCTTCACAACAGTGATATACAAAATTCCAAAATCTATGTAAGCCTCAGAAAATCATATTTATTCAATGCAGAGTAACAGTTCAACTGACTGAACCTACAGTCTAGAAACTGTCTTTTTCTTCATGGATACAAATGAAATAATGACATGCAATGAAAACTGACTTGTTTTCAGAATTATTGACCTGAAAGATGTGAGACATTGATAAAATAAAATAGCTATGGGGAAAACTGCAAAACTTACCTGATCCTTCGAACGGGAGAGACAATTTTTGATTACCTCAGCTTCCAGCATTGTCCGTTTATTAATTTCTACGTGCTCGTAATACCTGGAGAGTCTTGTTTGACCTTGTTTGTTTACCATAAGAAAAAATTTTATCATTTCTTTGTTGTTGATCTCAGCAGTAGATTTGAATATGGAGTGTAGGCATCAAAAAGAGTATTTCTGTGGGGAAAAAAATATAAAAACTAGTATACATAGGAGTTATAAAAGACCTCTTAATAGCTAGCCAGCCCTGATTCACATATATTTAAGACTGAGTTTATTGCCAAAACATAGAATATAGGGAAAAAATCTATAATATTTTGCATGCATCCCATGAGTAAACCTCAACTTTTTTCCCCCACAAATAATCACAAACTATCTAATAAATAATAGCTTTCACATTTATCAGGCAATTTAATTTCTTTGTAGGACCTGGGGAATTGGAGGAGTAAACAATTACTTCTTCAAAACCATAAATCTACTCACTATTTTCTTCCCGCATGCTAATTGATTTGAGAACATTATCAGAAATTTGCCCAGTACTAAAACATAAGACTAACAGAGCTCATAAGAGCAAAATTGGCCTATGAACGCTTTTTTTTTTTTCTGTTCTGACTTGTATTTAACAATTTCATTCATCCCATCCTAACATCAGGTTGAAGGGAGAGAGGACAAAGGGCAATGCACATGACCATTTCTTTAATGCAGAATGAGAGCCTCCTACATATTTGGGTATCAGCAGTATCAGCACACAGCCTGAGCTGGACAAGGAGCCGTTGAAATCTGTTTTCTCCCATCTAACTTCCCACGCTGATGTGAAAGGCAGATTCTGCACTTCATGAAAACTAAGTGTGGGTCTTTGATAGCTAAGGAGAAACCTGTTCATGTTAATTACTCAAAGCAGCTTAATCTCAATCTAAATAAATATTAATCCACACAACACCACTGAAATATAGTTACAGAATATAAATATGCCACATGTAATGTACAATGAAAAAGGCTATTAAAAAGAGCACAGCATATATCAGAATCTGCTTGCTAAACAACTGATATCTTGAATGTATTGAAAAGCATGCAAAAAAAGGTAAAGTGCAGATGTAATTTTTTGAAAGAGAAGTTCTGGGTTATTTTCTTTAATGTCAGAAAACAGGCGCTGTAATGTTTTCCATCTGACTCTCTGTTTGGATCACAGATTTACTGGCCCAAGTGCTCCTGAGGTTTATGCACTGGAAATAGAGCAACTACCGCAAAAGCTATTTCTTTATTCCAGTTCTGAAGAATTGTTCCTTTCCTGGTACAAATATTCTCTCCAAAGGTCTCACAGCTCCTGTGAGAAACTCCAAGCTGAAAAAAAAGTATCAGGAATCCACAGAACAATACCATGTAGCTCTTTGTGTAAAAACAGTGTATCTTAATGCAGAAAAGCAGAAGGAGAAAAAAATATAAAAACCAAAATAGATCTGTGTGGCAGCAACCTCACTGACATTTAAACATATGCTGATTTTTTATAACAAGGCAAGCTGCATAGGTGCTGCCTCATATTAGCAACTTGAATAAACTGGCTATGTATCACTCATGGGTGGTAACATCTGAATCTTTCACAACAGTGACACAAAAAATCCCAATATATATTGTGCTGACATTAATTATTGCTTACTTCTGATTCACACTGGTCACCTAATTATTTTCTGAAAGAAAAGCCGCCTCTATTATCATGACTTGGATCTCAAGAAAGCAATCCCATTTCCCTCAGTGTACTGTGGTTTACACCATATGCAAAGTTTAGATTTCTATACTAAATGTATCTTCACTAATTAGGCTGGATACTGAGAATTCATCTCCTAACTGACACCTCCAGGGAACAGGAGTCCAGGATCAATCCCGAGGACAAGAGAACCTGTGTGGAATGGTGGCAGTCTCAGAGCTTTCCCAGCTCTGCCAGGCATGCTGAAGTCTCGCCCCATCCAGAACAGGAGTGCACTTTTCTGATTCCCTCCGACATGGACGCTGGGCAGTGCTGCTGCTGCGGTGCATGCGGCTTCCCCACTGCACCCCGGGCTCCTGAACTAGCACAAGTTGGTCTCTGAGAAACAATGAACTGGGTAAATAAGACTCAGAAGGGCCCACATGGAAATGTATGATGGGATCTTCACTGTCGGATGGCAGCTTAGGTTGACATTTATGACTAAATGGGAGAGTACCTTCTATACAAGCTTTTCTGCATTTAATATGTGGCTCTTTTTTTCCCCATTCTATTTGGTATTGCTGCTTAAATTTAAGAGTTGCAATAAGAAGAGATGTCTCAGTATTTTGAGGCAGAAAGAAAGGTAAAACACTGAGCTGACTTAGTCATTTTGTAATACAAATCTTCCAAGAAGCAAGGGTAAGAATGAACAACTCCATCCAGCTCAGAATGAGGCACTCTAGCAAGGGCCAACCTCACGAGCAAAAGAAATCTGAAGCTTTAAAGCTACTTAAAAGAGGTTGTGGTTTGAAAGAGAAACAACCTAAGAAATGCTGCCCATTGTTTTAATGAAAAAAATAGCTAGCTCAGACACAGGAGACCAAAAGCTACACACATTGCTCCTACCAACTGCAAAACACGTCTGTCCAGGTTAAACAGATAATGACAGCAACACAGACAGCTTTCCTTTTTTCTTCTTAGTTTTATGCTTCATCTTTGTGCTTGGTACTGCTGAAGCATGAACTGAGAGACCTCTGTTTTGAACAAGTTGTTTCCAAGCTATTTTAATAATTTAGTCATAAATGGTACTGGGGAGCATAAGTCCTGTTCTCAGAAATCAGTAATTTGCACAAACCCATCCCAGAAGAGTAAAAACCTGAGGCTTAACATGTCTGTGGATATTCAAGTGGGATCTGAGAGCAAGAGGACAGTAAAACTACCCCAGGAGCACTGACAGAGCTGTTGTACTTTGAATTATTGTTAAGCAATATATATAACAGAAAAAAATATATGAAAAATTGGTATGTATGGATCATATTTCAGCCTTGGCTCCTAATCCTAATTATTCCTTTATTAACCTAATCTTTCTACACAGTTAATCCATTCCTGATGTTACGACTATTGTATCTGCATGCATTCTTATGAATGGCCTGCATTGTTTTATATATGAAAATACTTGAGACCAGACTTTTTTTTTAAATCCTCACAAACAGTCTTATCCAGAAGAAAAAAAAAAAAAAAAAGAATCCTGTTATAATGGAGGTAGAACTATAGTAGTACTCAAATGTGCTATCTGTAATTTATGAGACAATCATTACTCTCAGTGTTAGAAAAGGTGATTAACATCTGCAGCGAGGAGGTCCACTACTATCAGTAGTCATTTCTGTATTTTCCCACCAGCCCCAAAGACAGCTTCCAAAATTTTTGCCAGAAATTTTGCTCACATAAATGGCAGCACAACCACACAGTTTTGTTCAGAGACACTGGAATAAATTTACATGTACAAATAATAATTTTTTTAAAAATTTACAGAAAGCTTGGAATAGCTGTGGAATCTGACTTTAAGAATAACACCAGTGTTAAAATATCTTAAAGTTTTTTTCATTTCCTTTAAAAGTAATTCTGAAAAAAAAACACTTGTAGAAATAACATTTTCTTGCACAATTTAGGCAAAAAAAAAGGAAATTACTGAGTTTTGTTTCTAACAAATAAAATTTATTTTTCTTCTTTTGTCTTGGCTTTCAGATACAGGCAACATAAAATTATTTTTGCATATCTAAGATGTAAAGAAACCTGTGAAGTACAATAAACAAACAAAAAGCGTATCTCTGCATGTCAATGGATGGAGAAACTCCCATTCCTTCATCAAGTTTTATGTATTTGAGAAGCTACCGTTTGTGATCAATAATTGGCACTCTACTTAAGAGGATAGCTCTTACAACTCTTAGTGCTTTTCTGTGCATTCTCACGCACACGCCTGCATATATCCATGCACATACACACAAATGACGATGCTTTTATGCATACAGAATCAAATGGTTCAAGGGAATTGGTGACAAGATGCAAGCCTTTCATATCCCTGCCATTTTGCTCATTTTAGTAATGTAAAGACATTACTATCTGAAGGCTGTTTGTCAGAAATGAATAGGATGTCTCATTCCAGGTCACTGGACAACTATCTGCATCACAAATGCGCTTAGGAAGAGAAGACTGAAAGGGACTGTCGAGATCCTGGTGGACCACCAATTCCAGCTCTCCCCATCACAGTCAACCCTGCATTAAAAATTTTGTCCAGGATAGCCTGCAGTATATGCTTTGTGTGTACCGGATCTACCAAACTCTGTGACAGAATGAAAACTCCCTAGAAACAAAAACCTCATCGGGTATCACTTGGGGAAGATGTAAAAAGTCTTGAAACTGTAAACTTTCCTTCAAAAGAAATTACCTTCCTGAGCAACTGAGTAGCACTCACCTTTATTTCCTTTACAGAATATTTCTACTGTAAGGATAAATGGGCATGCACACAAATGACAGACAGTTTAACCACTGTGATTTAACTATGTGTTGTTACACTGTGTTAGCTCTCACCCTCATTAAAGTATCTCTCACAGATAAGTATCTGTGAGAGAAAACTGGTATCATGATTGGCATGCATGACTCACACTGATAGACTGATGGAGTATGCAGTCATTGATGACTTATGATATGATGGCTTGAGCTCCTAAACCAGCACATACGCAGAAGACTATGGATCCTGGCTCATGAAGATGCTTCTTGATTTTACTGCCCTCAAGCTGGCTCACCCCCCCGCCTATACAGGTAACTCTACCCTTGTACTTCAAGACAAACTGAGACCTGCCTGGCTGGCTTCAATATGCCGGAACAGAAACCATGATGGTTCAGGAACTGCTTCTAGGACATGCCAGCTCTGTAGGCTGCATAACCGCATGAGACACCTCAAAGTAAGTTGTCCCTGTTTGTGAGTCACACCCCTAAATGCCGTCTTCTCAGATACTGGTTGAGACCTCTCAGAGAGGCAAAGCCTGCAATACCTGTTCTGTGGATAAAAATATCTTAAGTCTCCAGCATGGCCAACCCAGGAGATTCTACATGCAGTAATATAAAGCATATTTTAAATACAATTTTAATTACTCCTCCAGTAGATACAAGCACTTGATGTTATTCTGTCAAAGATTTGACCAATATTTATACACATCCTGATACAAAAATTATAAAGAAACAACCTGAGTTTGAGATGTCTTGCAATATAGTTATCATTCAAATTAGATGTGTCTCTCAAGCTAAAACGACTCTAGTCAATGTCCACAGATTTATAAGCATTTTATTTATTGTGCCGTAACACTGTTGTGCAATGTTCTAGGGCTCTCAGCTAAAATGTAAATAAAAGATCAAATCTAGCAAACAAGAAATGCATGACTACCTTTCAACAGAACTGTTTCACCAATAATTAAAAATAAGTGTTAGACAGAACTACAAGCAAATAATTTAGTGTACTGTCCAACTCTACCCAAGTTGGTTTTCTGAATGCAGAGGTCCAATGGCACTTTATGTGTGTGCTAAATATAGAAAAAAATGAGTTAAACTGGAATTAAAGCATTAATGAAAATTTTAAAATGGCTAAACACTAGAGGCACAAGTTGGTGACAGCACAGGAATAAATATTTTTGATATATATATATATTTGCTTATTGAGCTTCCTAGGTATGAATTTATGTACAGACGTATATATAGCAAATGAAGATCCCTCTCATAATTGACACCCTTGCTCTTCCTATTTTTGTTCTGACCATGGACAAGGCTTTAATCAAAATCACACGCAGTGTTAATATTTATCAGTAATACTAATTTCTGTATTCTAGATCTTATTGTGCATATTATAATTCATCCAAAGATGAAACAACTGTGCCTATGTGGCTTTAAAATAAAATACTCTATTCAACTTCAGGATCAAGGATTTTTAAAAAGCACCCGCATTAATCTAGGGAAGTCAGGGAGGAAGGAAAGAATACGAAGTTTTCCTTTGCTGTTGAGTTGTCAAAATGCTGGCTGAATATAGTAACTGAATTAATTACAGTAACTCCCATACACTCAGGAATGATGACTGTCCCGTAAGTTTGAGGCTGAACAAAAGGCTAAACTGGTTATGAGGAAAGTCTTAATTTTTAGTAATGATTTCATACTGTCAGTGCACAATGAAAAGAATCAGCTGAGGTGGAAAAGAGTTGGATTTAGATTGGCTAATCTGCATGGAATCAGGAAGACTGTAGGATGACATTTTAGTAGGAAATGATTTAATGAAAAAAGGAAGCACTGGATAAACCAACTGAAATATCAATACACACCTGAGGAAAGATTAGTAGAGAAAGGAAACACCAGTACTGAGGCAAGCAGTATTTATTTTTCCAGTAATTAATGGAATTCCAACTCTGTCAGGAACGAGCCCTGTTCAGGGGCTCTGTTTTTTATGTTTTTTTTTTTTACTGAAAGTACAGCATGTGAATATTTTGAAGACGGGCAAAACCAAACTCCTACCTTACTTACAATGGGCGACCGACATAAGTTTTCAAATAGGATGTGCTGATAATTTGTAAAAATTGCATTTCAGACCAGTCCCTTGCAACTGAGGTAATTTCACCGCATCCAAACTACGGCATCAAACGCAGCATTGCTATCACTGATAAAACCGAGCCAGGCAAAATAAACTGGTAATTTCTTGCAAAACCTTCCTCACGTGGAAAAGACTTTTGAACAGCAAACAGTGTGCGCTTTCCCTTCCCATCAAGGCGGGAACACATTACACACATGCCTGACTATTGAGATACCATGAAGATGACCGTTCATTTAAAAAAAAAAAAAAAAAAGGTTAGCTAGCTTTCAGAGACGTGCCATAAATTTAAGAGAGCTACTCTAAACCCACCTCCTTTAGGGGCAAATTCAGCCCACCGCTAAACCGCGCTCGGTTTTAGAGACTCAAGCGCTTTAACCTGCGACGCGCTGCCCGCGCGCCGGGTTGGGCAGCAGGCCCAGAGCCCGGCCCGCCCGCGCTCCCGCGGACTCCCCCGAGGCCGCCCGACATTCCCGAGGCGCGGAGCTTCCGCGGCTCCGCCGCGCCCACGGCGTAACCCCGCCGCTTCCGCTTTGCCCCTCAGAGCGGACGGAAACCGCCCGCCCGCGGCCACCGACCCCGACCCACCTGGGGCCGGGCGGGGCGGGGCGGGGCCTCCCCCCTCCTCACGGCGGTGCCCGCCGACAGCCGGTCTCCCAGGGCGGGCTGTCCCCGGGCCGCCGCCGCCACCCCGTGAGGAGACGCCCGCCACCGCTGCGGCCCGCCGCTCACCTCCCCTCCCGCGCATGCGCGTTCCGCCGCCGCCGCTTTGCCCGCCCGCCCGGGCGGAGGGAGCCGGCGGCCGAGGGGAGCGATTTCCCGGCGTGCTCCGCGCCGCTCCCATCTCCCCTCCCCGCCCGGCGCGGGTGGGTGGGCCGGCGGCTCGGCGGCTGTAATGGCGGCTGGCGGCGGCTCGGCGCTGCTCTGACACCCGGATACCGCTCGGCGCAGCCCCCCCCCTCTCCCCGCGCCCGGCCCGCCCCCCTCCTCCCCGCCCCAGCCAGCTCCGCTCACCCCCTCCCCGGCCCCTGTTCCAGGCCCCCGCCGCGGGACGAGGAGGAGGGTTCCCCGCAGACAATGGACGAGCACCCCGGAGCCGGAGGAGGCGGTGGGATGGCGGCCGCCCCGAGACCGCAGCAGCCACCGCCGCAGGCGGGTGGGAACGCGAACCTGCAGTCGGGTGGGGGCTGCGTGGGGGTCGGAGCCGGCGGAGGAGGAGGAGGAGGGCAGCAGCAGCAGCCCCAGGGCCCCGCGGCCCCGGCTGGTCAGGAGGCGGCGGGCCCCGCCGAGCTGTCCCGGCCCCAGCACTACACCATTCCGGGGATCCTGCACTACATCCAGCACGAGTGGGCTCGCTTCGAGATGGAGAGGGCGCACTGGGAGGTGGAGCGGGCCGAGCTTCAGGTATGGGGGGGCCGAGGGCGGGTTCTACGCGGAGCCAGGCGCGGGCTGGGACCGGCTCGGAGCGCTTCGGGGAGCGGGCCCCGGCAGCAGGGCTACCGGGGCGAGCGGAGCTCGCTGGGGCCCGGCGGCCGAGCCCGTCGCTGCGGCTCGGGGACGGTACCTGGGCGAGGTCCGGCGGGAGAAGCGGCGTCGCCGGCCGGCGGGGCCGCAGCCCCTCACGGCCTGAGCTGGGCTCCTTTCCCTGGGGCAGCCATTTTGGTTTTTAGCATGGCGCCCGCCTGGGCTGCTGGCTCCGGAGGCAGCCGCTGCTCCGCAGGCCTCTCGCCCGTCCTGGCGCTGCGGGGCTCGGCGGGCGGCTGGGCAAGGGCGGGCACTGCCGCGGCGCGGGGCTGCCGACCCTCCTCCCCGCCCGGCCGCGGCAGGGCGAGCTGCGCCTTGACAGCTGCCATCGCCTCCCGCAGCACAATGACCGCGGGGCTCGCCGGGCCGGCGGCCGCCTCAGCCCTGGGCGCGGGGTATGGGGAGCAAGAGCCTGCGGGCCTGGGGCGGCTGGCGTCTCCCCGGAGCTTGGCGAGCCGTTGCTTGCGGGAGAGGAGAGCCGCGAAGAGGCCGGGGTGCCTGCCTCCCGGGCAGGGAGAGGACGAGGAAAGGGTGTTCGTGTAGATCGCGCGTAGAGGACTTGGCCAGGCGCTCCGCTTCGAGACGGGTCGAGCGTGTGCTCGCTTTCCTTCTCGCTCCTTTCTGTTGAGTTTTCGTACGGGAGAAATAACCGTTGAAGGACAGTGAGGTTTGCGGCATGGTCAGTTTAATATACATAAAAGTACAAACTTTGTTTCTCTGGAACTAAAATTTATTAACTCTTCAGGGTAGAGGACAAGGGTTAGAGCTCCTGTACAGATCTCTTGCCATTAATGCTTGCTTTTAGTAATGGAAAGGATACCTCTTCTAATTACTTTTGCACGTAAAATTAAAACCATGCATACACGATTACAAGCTTATGTACAGATTAGAAAATCCACTGAATGTTAGGTATCCATATAGGAGTCATTATTCTTTTATAGGACAGAAATGTAGATGATAGCATTCACAAACTTTATTAATAGTTTCTGAAGGTATTTTGGTGATTTTTGTATTGAGTGAATATTTACTGTCTTGAAGCGGCATTCTGTCAAATTGCACCGCAATTAGAGTTTTTAATAGCGTGCTGTAACAGCAGCCAACATTTGTGAGGTATTTACTTTCAGATTTCAGAACCAAGAACTATACCTGAGCCTGGGCAGTTCTTTCAGGGCTTCTCAACTCTATAATAAGCCTGTAATCTGCACTATTTTTGTTACAACTATACTTAAGAAAGAATTTTTAAAAAACGCCAAGGGAAACAAATGAAGAGGTTTCAGTATTTCCTTCACTTAGTGTCTGTCCTAGCCATTCCACAAGGCTTAAAATGGTGTTTTTAAAACCAGTTTGGTGAGCATTTTTAGCAGAGAGCAATTGACTGTTTCTCTTGTTTTCTCAAGTGTCTTAGTAATACATTTGTAAAGAAGTTGCTTAGTGCCATTCATTAGCAAACAAAACCATCTTGAAATATTTGTTTTATGTACAGTCTTGTTACTTTACAACTGACATACTGTAAAGCTCAGTTTGGAGACTTTGAAAGCTCTATCTGGTTGAAGAAGTGCTGCTGTGAACTCATGTGGCCTCTAGACTCTGTGATGTGTTCTTGCCAAGTCTGTTGCTTTAGTCTGTAATTGCTGTTTGTCATCCATGGCCATACTGTTTCAGTTGCTTATTTCTGAAGGTACCGTAGTAGTTCCGACCCTGGCGATATATGTGTTGATTCACTCTACCTCATGTGTGCCATCAGGTCATGGGACAGAGACAGCATAGTCACTGCACAGTGCATATGCATGAGGGTGGGGTTTTTTATAACTTTAGAAGCTCAGCATAGAAGGGGAGGGCGGTGTTACCTTTGGGTTTTAAATGTCAACCAGTACAGTGCAGAGGACTGATACAGGAATGCGCTGAGAATATTTCTGAAGAGGTGTGCTTACCAGGCCCGTGCTTTTTGTTGTTCTATAACTTAAATTGTAAAGTTCCAGTATATGTTGTGACTAATAAAGCCTTAATAGCTTGGACCCCAAACAGCAGTTCTGTCCATTGGAACTGTTGAGAGTGTTATTTATCAGTGTGATACTAGGTATAAGTGTGAGTTTTTTGATGATTGAGGACTCATGGGTTGAAAAGGGGGGGGGGGGGGAAATCCATAGCATGACAATAGGTAATTCATATGGAAGTATGAGAGTTGGATGGTTTAGATGCAACTCTGCTAATGCAGGTAATTTATTCCTTCTTTCAACACGGCAGTAAACGCTCTAAACATTGTTTCTCAGTACTGGCAATTACAAGTTCTTTCTAAGTTGACTAGGTAACTTTGCACGTGACGCTTTATAAAAAGTCTGTGGAAAAGCAAATGACTTAGCAATATGGGTGGTTTTATTTACTTGTTCTGAGTTTATGACTTTTATTCTTCCAAATATATAATTCCTTTCTGCGGTATGAAATTAATGGGACTCCTGAGTGATTTCCCCACGCCCCCCTTTTTCTTCCCGTATAGTTCAAGTGACTGGAAGAATTACCCACCCCTAATAGGAGTGCTCTTGGCGTGCGGAGGTGATGGTGCAGGGAGACTTGATCTCCAGTAACAGTTTATTCTTCCTTGGATCTTGGAATGAACTTCTGGTTCTATTGTTCTACATGTCTATGGGACACATTTTTATAATTTAAAGTATATGTTACTTCATCATCTTGGGGTTTATGCCATAGCCATAATGACTGACAAAGGATCTCGAGCCTTTGGATCGGAAGAAGTCCTGTACTGGTAGACTTAAGTCTACATTCACATCAGACTTTGAATCTTCAGTCTTAATCATTTTATACTATCTTTTCCAACTATTCGGGTTGATGGCTCATCTGTATGTGTGCAGAAGTGAAGCAGCGTAATTATCTGCCAAATCTGTTTGTTCAAATTATTACGAAGTACGGAAATGTCAAATATCAGGAGTGCAGTACTTGAACCATGGTATGCTTTTTTCCTTTCACTTGTAATATTGTCTGCCACAGTAACTTTTTTAACCTTTACACGCTGCTGTGTTGAAAGGAAATAGTTTGGCCTTGCATAGTGTGTTGATCACTTGAAGTAACAGGCTGGATCTGTTCTCTATTCTGTGAACTGAAAGGATGATTTTTACTGTAACAATGTTGTGTAATTGTAAGTTTGATCTGTCAATGTAATGACCTTGATGTCAGTAGCTGTTACACTGAGATAAATTCAGTCGGTGTTTTCCAAGACATTCACGCACTTTAGAGGAGTTATAGCAAGCCCATATTGTTGGATCTTATGTATTTGTTATAAATAATTGTTTCCTATAAGAGGTAAGTGGCTTCATAGTCTCATAAAAGAAAAAGAAATGTGAATGGGGAAAACACTTTGGAGATGTAGTACAGAAACTCTCAGAGAAGGAGGATGTCAAAAACAAGTATCAGGAAAACTTGCAACTTTTGGGGCGAAAAGCAGTAAAGTTCCACTTTGTTTTGGGGCTTACAGGCTGATAATACTTGGTTGGAATAAAGGCCTCAATTGTGCAGTTCCATCACGTTTTGTGAGCTAGGTAAAAATGAGATTGAGTACTCTGATACCAAATCACACAAGAATATCTTGAGAGAGAATTAACAGTAGATAATGCTTCTGAATGTTTTAATGAATAGGAAGAATAATTAAGAAAGAAAGAATATAGTATATACAATTTCAGTCTAAAATGAGAACCTTAGTGACATACAACTGAAGTTCCTAGTTTAACTAATTTTACAAATGCTCTTTTTCCAAACTATTCAGTGACATTATGGGAGCATTTTGTTATCTAACATTTTATGTTCTTTACATAAGTTTTTTTTTTTAAAAAAACCCAAAACAAACAACCAAACAAAAACAAAGCCAACAACCCACAGTTTTCAGATTTTACATGCTTCTCTTCCCCCCCCCCCCCTTCTTCTTTCTCCTGGGGGCTGGAGAACAGCTTATTAAAGGAATTTTATGAACTTTCAGAATCTCATAAGTGTTGCAGAATTACATCTCAATAGGACGTTCTTTAAAAAAAAAAAAAAAAAAAAACAAAAAACCAAAAAACCAACAAACAAAAAACAATCAAAACCCAAACAAACAAACAAAACAAAAAAAGTGTCTTCCTGGGAATATTTCAGATTTGAGGTGATTATCTAAATTAGGTATTTTACATGTAATTGTAAATATGTAAACATATGAGAATGCGTTAATATCATGAACTAGATGAGACCACATTCAAAGTGTAGATACACTTCTGTAGCGTTTCAGCATTTTTCAACACTTCAGAGTTTACAAAGTGTAGCAAAAATCAGCTGATGAAATATTTAGCTATATGTAGCTTGGTTTACTTTATTGCAGGCGTGAAGAGGGTATAATGTTGGGAATGTTTCTTAAAGTTTGAGGAACAATTAATTCTTCTGATAGCATACTTTACCTTGTTTATGGCAAGCAAATAATTAGTTTTCATCATAGACTGGAAGTGCAAGCGGTTATGAGGGTTGTGGAATGATCATTAGTTTGTTAGGGAAAGAATGAGTGTGTTTCAGTCGGCAGCTAGGAGGCATGAAGTAAAAATTTTTCAAAAGAACTCTGGCTTTTTAGGAATTAGTGGAATTTTATGCGGGGGGGCTCTTGTAGATGCTAAAATATTCAGGGATCAAAAAGTGTTTGGATGAGTTCATGCAAGAGAAGTCCCTGGGGATGTGTCAGTTCAAAGATGCTACCTCTGGCTCAGGATACCTTTGATTTACAAGGTTTTGGAGATTTTGAGTGTTTTCTGAGGTTTATTCTTCTGTTATGCCATTCCCATGGAGCTGCCTGTTTGCCTGTGGTTGGAAGTGGCATACTGAGGCTGGTGGTATGTTGATCTGATGAGATACAGCAATTCTTACATTCTCATGACCAGTGATGTAGCTTTGAAATTGTTTGGTTTGATTGTTTGAAAATGCACCTACCACTGTTTTGATACTGTTTTGCTTAAATAACAAACCCTGATTGATATCAGGGGTATTAATTGTGATAGAATATACAAAGGTTCCAGGCAGGAAATGCAGGTGCTGCAGTTGTGAAATGCACAGTGTATTTTAACCACATGCATTATCGACTGCTTTATAGATGGTTGAAGTTGGAAAATATGTGTAAATTATAAACTGCTATTTCATTTGGTCTTACAGGTGTATCTCAGTATTTATTATGCAATTAAGCTTAACTGGCTACTAAAGCAGTCCTTAAAAAAATCCCAAAGGCTACTTAATTAACATTGACCGAAAATAAAATTAAGGAGGTTGTAAAAAGTTGATCAAAATTCATAGTTGTGATACTTGTAAA